GTATATAGCTCAGCCAGAAACGATCCTCGAGATTGCTCGTTCTCGAGGAGCCGCGAGGGGACCGGAATTTCCATTACCCTAAAACATCGAGTGTCTCCGTGGTTTTCACGGCAGCTGGCATCGCCGACGGTGGTGGTGGATCCTCAAGGAGGAATGGCCTGCTTCAACGAGATCGAAACGAGGCGCGCGTTCCGAGAGGAAACGGAGCACCGCCTTAGGAGAAGGAGAAGAAAAAGGAGGAGAAGGTGGTGGTCTCTCCTCTCTCTCTCTCTCTCTCTCTCGCTGCCACGTTTTCGCGCACCTTTTACGCGAGATGCACGGTATTTCCCGACCTGTCTCCTTTCGGATTCCGTTTATCTCTTCCCTCTGCCGCTTCTTTCAGCTTGTTTGAGCTCTAAGGAGTCGGACTCTTGGAATTTATTTTTAGTTACCCTTTGTCCCTGTTGTTGCCACGTTATTGTATTTTTTCTTCCCCCTTTCTTCCTCTTCCCTTAGACTAAATTGAGTTTAGACGAGGGAAAAATACTTCGTTCGCGGGGGGAGACTGTGAGAGAATCGCAGAATGTTAATTTTGCGGAGCGGAAAAATGGGGAACGAAGAACTTCTGTTTACAGCAGAATGTTTTCGCAATTTATCTCTAATGTACTGTTTAAAAAGTGTGGTGAAATTACTCTGCACTTGAGATGGAGCAGTAATTTGCATGTAATATTAAAAAATGAAATTGTCACTTACCTATACATCGACGAAGATTAAATTCCAGATTGTAGGCACCGCTGCTGCATTGGAAAGGATTGAAACAGAAGAACGATCAGCGGAGCTTCGCAGCTAAATAAAAGAAATTATAAAAATGAATAAATTAAAACTGAAATTTATATGAAAATTTAAAATAAATTCTCAAACTCTTTAAAATAATCGAATTTCAATGGAAAGTTGTACGGAAGGATAACACGGAAGAAACGCAATCCAAGTACCAATGCTTACGCTTTAAATGCTTTAAGTATTTATTTAAACAAATCCCAACATTCCAAACATTGATAATCGTGTATGTGTGTGTGTGTGTACCTGTGTATGCATGTGTGTTCGTGTCCGTACCACTGTACGCGTGTATTCCGTGTACATGTGTTTTCTTTTAATTCTGTATGGAAATGACGCTGAAGACGTCGCTGTTTCGCGCGTTCATTCATCGAGAATCCTGGATCCAGAGTGAGAATCACAATCACTCTAAGCGTTCGTCGTTCTAGAACGACTGTCGCAAAAGTGGAAACAGAATGATCGAACGAATCGAGGATTCCGTCGATGAATCGACGAGTTTTCAACGACAGGACTTTCGAACTTCTCTCTCTCTCTTTCTCTTTCTTTCTTTCATATTTTCACACACATACGGTCTCTCTCTCTTGCTATCTTTCTCTCTTCCTTGTTCTCTCTCGTTTCTTTCTCATTCTCATCTCTCAAAAACTCAAGCCTTGCCGTGGCTCGACAAGAATCGTTACGACACAATCGACCCTTTCTTTTCTTCCACCTCAGGGCGCTAAAGACGCACGAATTCTTTTACGATGGCGAGCGTTCCTCGTCTAAACTAAATTAGTAGTTAGGTTTTACTTACGGCTGGCCCTTCGTACGGGTCGCTTTCTCTCTCTTCTCTCTCGTTACACTCAGACTCGCACGGATGCTTACAACGACTTATTTCTCCTTTATTATCGAGACTCGACTCTGCCTCTCGTTTACTTCATCGATCGTCCCTTTCCCGTTTCCCCGGATGCAACTGCTTCAACCCGCTCTACCCGCCTCGATCTATCGCGAAGGCAGGAAAATAAAGGATAACGAACAGGTTGAGAGGATAAGGAAATATGGATTCGTGGAAATACGCGCACCGGTTGAATGGCAAATAGAAATTGTACGCTGAATACGGGTTGCCTGCGGAAATGTATTATTTTGGATCTGAGTGAACTGAAAGCTTCAATTTTGCAGATAAATTTTTGTGAAGAAAGAACATTAAACGTTAGGATGGTAAAATTTTTTAATATAAAGAAACATTGCTGTGTGTAAAAATTGTGAATTTCTAAGGTAATGGTAAATGGGATTGAAACACAGTTGCAATTTTTGAACGTTAAGGTTTCTCTAAGGAAATAAAGAAACGAGCATCTCGTAACTTTCGATTGAATAATTAAAAACAAATTTATACTTTCAAAAATAGTCAGACTTCGAAGTCACAAATCTACTGAGATACAGATTGTTTAATATCTACTGAAATTGCGAATATTTAACCTTAAGTAGAATCGCCTAAAAAATTTTGCAACGAAAAAATAAAATCCTTGAATTCTTAATCCTATCAAATTAGATAAAACCCAGAAAGAGATCGTAGAAAATTCGTAACTTTCTTATAATATAAGAAGCTCTCTATGTCACAACCTTCATGTCTGACCATTACCGGCTCGTACTACTTTTTCCCAAACGGTAATCCTCGGATCGTACAAATTACAAAATTATTCCTTCACGTGTGCAAGTAAATCTTGCATTATCCTTTATTCCAATCTCAAATATTAACAAATAGCAATCGTGATCACTGTCGTTATTTTAAACAAACGACGTTTCATTCTGTTTTTTCCTCCAGGATTAACTGTGACGAAAAAGTTTGCCCCACTTGGCTGAAAACACACACAGTTCTTATGTGGGTCAGATGTTGTGCATTTCAGTTATCAACTTGATAAGCGTTTAACTCCGTCGCAGCATTCGGTGAAACGTAATCAAGGCTAATTGTTCGAGAGTCCGGGGAACAGTGAGGAACAGTTCTAGTAAACAGCGGCATTTGTCAACAGGAACAGGACACGCTCGAGACAAGAACGTGACATTCTCAAAATTACCGATTGCAAACTCCATTTACCCCGAACAACTAATTTCGTAAATTAATTTCTGTATCAAGTTCCTTACAGTCTGCACTTCGATTAATAGTAAGATGCAATTTCTACGAAAACGTTAATACCCCGACAGTTTCGACATCTCCGATTGAGCGCCTGGATTTTTCAGATTAATCGAACACCGTACACATTCCCAATTTCACGAATTGTATTCGAAAGTTGAATATGTAAAAAAAAATCACAAATTATCAGACAAACGAAGTACATCTGATACTCGTGAAATTGATACACGAAAGAAACTATTATTACTAGGAATATCTGTTAATTAAATACAATAGAAGTGTTAATAAATACTCTTCTCCCAAAATCTTTAAAAAATATATCATCTGAACTCGCTGTATTGTACTCAACATTTACTAATTCAATAATCATTCACTCGAAATTATACATAAGAAAGTAAATAAATAAACTCACCCAAAGAAAGGTCGTACGGAACGGAAAATCGTCCTTGTAAGCACCCTCCAAGAAGAAACGAAAATAGACTCAGGATGCACCTGGGTAATCCTCCGATCGTTTCCCCCACATCGAATATAATTTACAATTTATATTATCCATATTCGTTTTCGCGAACCATTCCTCGTTTCATCGGCATTCTTTCATCCTGACACTCGTTCCACTCGCTCGTTCTCTCTCGCTCTCTCTCTCTCTCTCTCTTTCGCGCACATAACTAAGGACACACGCGATTACACTGACGAGAACTCCAGATTCACCAATTCATTAGCTAGCAGGCTCCCTCTGTGCTGAAAAACCTGCAGAGTTTCGCTTAATCAGGTCCAGTTTCGTCCCGTTCGACTTCCTGTTCTCGCCCGGTTAGGAGATCCGAGAAGTCGAGGTCAGACCCTCCAATTCCTCGAATAATTCCACTTAGTGCTCCGACAAATCCGGATAAAGAAGAAAGCCCGAAGCAACCTGCCGGGCTTCCTCGGCGCGCGCCTTGTCTTTCGGGTTCCTGAGATTATATCAATCCCCTCGTTTCACGGCGTCGAGCGTCGCGACGACCCCCAGGAGCCAGAGCGACGGTTCAACCGATGCTTCGCGACTCTCTCCCCTTTGGTTCCCATCGATATTCCCCCAGTTTCTTCGTGGAACTTCTCTTCCCACTTTCTCCCTTCCTATACACCTTCTTTTCTTTTCTTTCTTTTAAATAAGGAAGATGAAGAGGTCCTCACAGAGGTCTTTGAACAAAACCTTCTCCCTCTTTCTCTCTTTGTTTCTAGCTCTCTCTCTCTCTCTCTCTCTCTCTCTCGTATATATGATCAAGATCCTTCTCGATATCGTTCGTATTCGACGAAGAACTCGAGCAAGCAAGCTAAAAGGATCGTGTTTAATTCAGCTCGATGGATCTACGGTAACTTGGAACGTACGAAACATCTTCACGCGATCAACAATCAATAAAATCGTTGGCGAAAATCCTCTCTGAAATAGGGGAAAACAGACTCGTCTCTCCTAGGCTTGTCCCCTTTCAGCTGCTTCGAATTTTACTCGTCTTTTTTTTATTCTTCGTTTTCTCTGCGTTGTAAGAAATATTGGAAAATATGTTCGTCACCGCCCTCTGCGCGTCTACGACGCCGCTTCGAACGAGTTTTCGAATTTTCTCATAAGGCCATCGATTTGTGCTGTTATTTGCTGTCTTACGTGCCTCCGTTCGTCAATTCTCTAAACTCCGGCTCTAGATCTGCCGCTAAACGGTGCAATCTTCTGCTATTCGATATACAGCTCGAACAAGATTCCACGAAAAACGATAAGCACAGTCTTCGAAATCACACGACGACTCTCGATCGTTCCCCGGTTCGTCGGGATGTTCCGTCGATTCGCGTCGTAGGCCTGCACGCAGAACGTTCTTCGTAAAACCTCCCTCGAAACAACTTCTCAAATCCAATGGCGTGGTCTTTCTAGCGTCGACCGTCGCTGATCTCTCCGACGTGGAAAAGATCCGGGCAACAGTTTCGGACCTGTCGAAAAATCGATCGACTACTGCCAGCAGTAGCCAGCAATCGAAGCGAGTATACTCTTCTCGACAGGCTCACACGTACGATCCTCGAAAGGATCAACGAGCACACGATTTCGTCTCAGCGCGAGTCCTCCTCACACAGAAATCTCTTGTATCTGAACACGTTTCTTGGCGCTGCCGGGTGTGCCCGGTTGCCTGAGGATTCCTGGACAGGACAAGCCTACGCTGGGCGCCGGAGCCCTCGGAGGAGGTGGAGGCTCCGGTAGATTATCGTCGTCGTTGTCGTCGCTGCTGCTGTCTCCTTCGTCGTCGTCGTCGTCGTCGTCGTCGTCCATCCTGGCAGTAGTGGCGTCCACGCACGGCGACGGTGTACGGGTCCTCTGGACACACGGTGTCCTGCTGTACAACGGTGGCTCCAGTATCCTCTTCCCTCCGCCTGGCGGCGGTGAACATTGAAACTCCTGCAACTGTAACTCCAGCTCTTGAGCTAGTTTCGCCTTGTGCGGTGGCGGGCTCGACGACGGTGAATCCATCAGGTTCAACGTGGACAATCTCTGTTTCCCCGAGGACACCTCGATGCCTGAACAACCTGCTTCCAACAGTTCCTCCTTCTTCTTATCGCCGAACGCCGAGGACAAACCGCCGCCCGAGTTCGAGGCGTTTCTGTCTCTCTGATGATAGATCCCGGCGAATATCAAGATGTTCAACAACAGGAGAAACACACCGACGGCTATGGTGACTGTCAGAGCGGTGGTGTAGCTCTGATAGTGGCTCGAGGCTAGCTTTCTAAGCAGGTTGTTCGGTCCTGGGCTTAGATTCGGGTGTTGCAGTGTCCTCGAGGTGGTCGCAACGGTGGTCGCGACTGTCGCGTTCGGTGTACACTCCGTGGTCGATATCACGCTTGACACAGAGGACGGCTCGGTGGGCGAGGGCACCGGAAGCGGTGGCGCTGGCAGCGGAAGAGCCAGGGTCTGCGGACGAACCGCGCCTTCGTACAAGCCTGGACTATCGGCTAGGTGATGGTGACGCATGCTGATCTCGTAGCCGGGTCGATGCAGCTGCGGCAACAGATTCAGCCACAGGGACATCTTGTGGCCCCTGTAATGCGACCGCATTTCCGTGCTACGACCGGCCTCCAGGTACAGCTGATTTATTGAATCGTACGAATCCCAGAACGGCGGGCTGCTCGGAAGCCCGTCCGATCCTGATGTCAGCGAGCTGACGCCGTTTGGATCCCTGAAACACACCGTGTGCACCGGCATACGTTGTGCTCTGAACTGTGATCGACTTGCCCCCACGTGGGACCGCTATATATGGTAGGGATCGGGGTGTGTTTGATGGCCTGTTCGCCGGTTTTATTCCAGAGGCTGCCACGTTTAACCCATTCGAGACCAATCTCTGACTAAACGACAATCCCTGGGAGCCGATATTAGCGCTAGCTGTGAGAATTCGACAATTCCTGGCTAGTCGTATTTTCTTTATCATCAAACTAGTATCACGTTTTAACTTATTTTTCAAATACTGACTGATAACGTGATTTCGTGCGTCACCGGTTTCGAATGGGTTAAAACGATTTTGAGGCGGGTTTGAGTGAATTTGGAGCAGCAAAGATTTACGAAAACTAATCTTGAAATGTTAATGGGGCATAATTGAACGTCGACTTGATTTTCATATAACTCGATGCTAGAATAAAATTTTTCTTATACGATTCGTATCGTGGTAGAATCTCGACGGAACATTTTCAAAAGGAGGAACCAAACGAAAAGGGACAAGCGCATTGTTTAGATAAATAAATCAGCAAATTGCTGTTGGCAAGTGATCGTGCTGTGTTCTAAAAATCACTTTCGAGCGAAATCCTCGGCTACCGAGCACTTCCACAGGTCCGTTTAATTATTTCACGGGAACTGATAGCAGGTTTCGTTGTTCCATTTCTATAGTCAACGAAGAACGAGAAACTCGGACGGAAATTGCGTTTCGAAATTGAGTTCGCCGGACGAGTGGCTGTCTCCTAGCCTAGCAGGTGTCCCGCGATATCACGCGGATACCAACGCAATCGCATTATGTTTCCTATCTCGACTCGCAGCCTGGGATTTTCTTTTCGTTGAAAAATCACCGCTATCCGTACGTTGCTTATACGAGAATCGAAAGATCTACGACGCGACAGATGGGAAAGAAAAAGACGGGGAAACCATCGATTCTTCTGACCTGAAAATACCGGAAGGAATCTGGGACCAGGTGAATCCTTCGAGATGAACAATGTGCAGTCTCTGTGTTCAACTTGAATCGCGAATTCGTCGACTGAATCGAAGTTACGAGTAATTATGAAAGAAACTTTCCATTGAATTAGATTTGAAGCGAAAAGTGGTGTTCGACAGGAGTGAATCGATTTTTAAGGATCGTTAGAGTGTTTGCTGGAAGTCTTTTCGTAGGAAGTTCAACTTGGCTGGAAAATTTTTGGATTGTTAATCTGATTTCGTTCGTTTATTTTTATTTCGACGGAAAGGTGTGTTTTATTTAGCGAATGGAGATTACATCACAAAGAGACGGTGAAAGGTTGCAGATCATTTTTCTGCAAACGGAATGCGATAATTAAAAGTTAGCGTATGTATATGGAAAACACAATTTTCGCGGAAAGAATTTATTGCGATTCCGTATAAATTGATAGAGAAAATGTTGTACCTTCGTGAATGAATATGAAATAAAAATTAAATCTGATATTAATCAATCCGTACAGATTTATCATTCCACATTTCAGTTTTTTTTTTTTTTTTTTTATATTTCAGAAAGACAGTAAAAAATTGGTAATAAAGAGGCTTTAATGGCTTTTAACTGTGTACGATTTATTTTGCATATTTCGCGTGTTTTTAGAAACATATGCAGAAGTATGCATACTTCATATGCGTTTATTAAAATTCGATAAATTTTCTGTGTGAAAAATGTTGAAAAAATGCTTATACTTTATTGTTACTTAAATTATAATCATAATATTTCCATAATAAAGATTCCAGTATTATCGCATATTTTCAATATTCTAATAACTAGACTGCGAATTTTTATGCATTAATGGAAAATATGAGGAATGCACATAATAACTAAAAATACTTAAACAAACCCCTGTGGGAGGTGGTCTAATGAACTTTACTCAAATCAGGATGTCGTGCAAAGTAGTTTACTTCGGACTCTTTGGCGTCCGTCTATTACCGAAGCTAAGAACCGACTCTCGTCGAATGGCAAAGATATCGCTGGGTCTGGTGTTTGTCACTCGCCAAGAGGCGCAGGCCAAGCCATAAACCGTCCCAAAATGCCTACACCCCAAATACAGTACTCTATTTTTTCAATTATATTCATAACGATATAAATTTGCATAAAAATCCGTATTTCACTAATCACCCATCCCACATATTCATATCTTACATTTTCATATTTCCCAACATTTTAAATGCATAACCATCCACAGTCTGCCACCTAATTGCTTCCGTTACACCCTCAAATGATCCTCCGCATCGCTTTCTCAGCCAATTTCTCCGAAAAGCAACGTCGATCTCCGTCTCTCGCTGAAAGCCAATTATCCAAGGAAAATCATGAACACCTTCTGTTCCCTATCTAATTATACACCGTGCTCTGCTCCAATAATGATCATTCCGATTCCGGTAGCGGGCAACTTTGGCTAATATTCAATTCGGCAAAGCCGCGGGCACGTAACAAGAAACTAGGCGCCGTGTCATCGTAATTGTAAGTTCGGAACATCGAGAACCGTGCTACGTTTTCCCATTCGCTCTCCGTTATCCGAATTCCTCGACGATCGTGCCTCGATTCTACGATCGTCCTTTCCACTTCTCGCGGAATATCCCCTGACGACGTTCAAGTTCGCCGACTTTATACAGCGGAGAAAATTAACCAGGAACGATAGGTAGCAAGCTCCTCCAGTCTCTATCGAACGATCGGGAAAAGCGAGACGTTCGTAATACGAAAAGTTGTTGGAAATCGGCTCGTTGAAGTTTCGAAAGGTTCGGCGCAACGATGTTAATTAAGACGTTGATATTTTCTTAGCGGTATCGACGGGAATATCGCGTTAGAGTCACGCTATTCAGAACAGGTTTTGATTTCTCGCGCGACGACGAAGTTCGAAAGTAGACTTGGAAAGTTCTGCTCTTGCTGCTTCTGTTTCGCACTTTATCGAGAGCGGGGAAATATTTTAGCAATCGTACTGTTAGGATAAACACGAATTTCCACCGCCCCTTACACTATGGGTGGAAGGCCATCTTCACGCCGCGCGTCAGTTTTTCAAAAGTTGCCACTTCAGTTTATTGATTTTGGTTCAGAGTTGATCTTTGGAATAAAAGAGTTATTTTTGTGAACGAAATACTGAAATTTTTGAAGTCCCTGTTAATACTCCACCGTGAAATTAGGTTGAAAATGGACCGTAATTGGGAGGAACTTTGTTTTTCTTGGAGAACGAAATTAACGGTGATAATTTAATCTTGAACGACAGAAATGTGTAGCGATGTTATTCGAGTTTTTGACATTTTTTTTCTTCCTTCTGTAATTTTCTTACGTTTAAATTGAATAATATGTAAAAACAGGAGAAAATTCAATCGTTCCTTTTTTAAAACATTCATCGTTGACAAGGATCGTCAGTTATTTAATCAATGTCTTTTCTATTATTATATTTCACTGCTATTTGTTTAAACATTTCTTACTAAATTTCAGTTACAAATAACGATCACTTGAGTAAAAATAATCGAACGACCATATTCTGTCACCGATACACTTTCCACAGTCGCATTTCGAAGAATTCACTTTTCTTCGAATTTTCATGTGAAATTAAAGAACTTCTCCACGAGCGGGAAATAAAGCCTGTGATTTTACGCTTTTAAACGGGACAGAAATTTTATTCGAACTTCAAATTGCTCGGGATGATGCTCGAATGGGGTAAAATTGTATTTGCATGGAAATTGCCTTGTGCACTGGCCTGAGAGACTAATCATCTCAACTGTTAGTCCAATTAAACGCGTTAATCATGATTTGCGAGCGAGAAAAACTGGATTCGACGGCGAGACAGGGGAAATTCGATAGATCCCGAACAACGTTTCATCCGTTCGAATTTTATTACGACAAAGGGAAGAACGCTGACCCAACTATCAGGAAGTAAAAAACCGCCCTGTAATGCGCAAATAAAATCAGAGCAGTTATCTGCGAGCTTTATCAGGGCAATTTTCTTTAACGATAATTGCGCACCGTTTCACGAAGCCCTCAGAATGTTTTCTTACGACTCCGGCCGACGTTCAAGGAGCAGTTTTCATTTTACAATCGGGAACCTGCTTATAGTTAATTGCCCGGGAAATAACAAATAAAGCAATTAAGTCTGTAGTGAAGTACTATTTGGGCTGGTTGTAAAAATATTTATTAAAAAGTCTACTGTTAATTTTTTAAAATAGATCACAGAATTTAATAGTTGATAGTTTAGATAAATGGTGTAATTTAGGAGATTTTCCTTTAGGCAAATTAGTCTCCAGATTTAGGGTACTTGGCTATTTAAAAATTTGGAGAAAATAAGAGTTCCGTATAATTTCGAATAAAGATACTATTACACGATAATATTCCAAGTTAAGAACTAGGGTAATTCCGTATCTGGCGGATAATGTAGGAAATACTTGCCTGGTCCATCTCTCCCGAAATTACCCTAATTGTCAATCAGGGTTAAATCGAATTTTCAGCACTTTTCAATGAAGCTCCCAACGATAAAATCTTTGAAAATACTCGCGCTCAAAATTATACTCAAAAACCGAAAAAACTCGAAAACTTTCAGGATTGATTTCACCTCGAAACAATTTTTCTCCCAAAAAAAAATTCACCGAAACCAGAATTTCCAGTTTGCCCGCCGTTCCTTATCAGCGAAAGCTTACGTACCCCCGGAAGAAAACTCTGGGGGAATCTGCGCGCAAGACACCCGATACGTAAACATTTTCCATTATTCCCGAACAGAAAAGGTCGAGTCTGGTTGATGTCGCGTTTGGAACGACCATCTCTACCGACTACTCCCCGACGAATCCAATCTCAAAACGGAAAGTCGATCTTCGACTGTAATTCCGGATGTCCGGAGCAACGAGTAATCCAAGTAAAAAGCAGCACAGGACTCGCATAGAGGAGGAGGAGAAACGAGAGAGAGATAAACTCACCCGCGTCTCACGAAGTTCGCCAAGTAGTGGACCATCAGTTTGGACAGGTTCTCATCGGCCAGAGTGTAGTTGGTCTGAGTGAGGAAAACGGACGCGACCTCGCCGCGAAGAAGAGGTATCCCTAGGAGAAAGGGCACCTCTTCGCCCCTCTGGCTCGGCCGATCGCCCAGCTGGAAATGCAGGAAGTAACCACGTCCCCCGGAGGCAGAGTGTAGCAATGCCAATCGTAGAAGAGGAGCCGCGACTTGGCCGTCGCCGAGCAAAGACAACAGACCCTCGCAGATAGCCGAAGGACTCTGCTCGCCCCTCTCCCAGTCCGTGTATTCGTTCCGAAGGGTCGAGTAGATCTCGTGAAGATGGTAACGATAGGTGTTTCGCACGTAAGTACGGAGAATACGATCCCTCCTGGTCTCGTTCAGGCCGTTCTACAATCATATCGAATGGATTATACGAGGTGGAGAAAGGAAGGGATTCTCCAAGGGGTTCTCGTAAAATTTTCGCGTCGTTCGCTCGTAAAGTTTCACCTTCGGGGCTTTTTCATTCTCTTTTTTTTTTGTTTGCTTTTGTTTTCGGTTGGTGAGTGCAGTGTTGGGGACAATTGTGAGGGTTTAACGGTAAGAATTATTCGGAGGACAACTTCCTCTCTGGGTTTCTTGTTAATTGGTGAATTTTGTGGATTCTTTTAATTCTTTGCACTCGAAGGCCCTTTTTTCTATAAGAAGGTACCAGAAATTAACGACATTTTTTGAAAGTATACATATATTAAGGAATACAACTATTCTACTTGAATATATAGGTAATGTATTTTTGTTAGAAGTTGGTTCTTTCGATCTATCCCACTGCTGAGATGTCTAAGATACAGTGAACAATTTATGGAGGTCCATAGACTTGCTGTCCTGGAAAATATCAGCTTCAGGGTTGCCTCCGTTAATTATTTACCAAATGGTAAATATGATCGCTTCTGTATCGTTGCACTTAGAAAAAATGAAGTCGTAGGAAGATAAATCTCATACCATTCAACCAAACACAAATTGCCCGATTTGGTTGCCATAAAAGCGTTTCGAGAAAACGACAGACCTAAATTATCTCAAAGTTGGTCGGAAATTCCGTGACCTATCTCGATTTACGCACTCAAGACAGCATCGGTGAAGATGCTTCGCCAGAAATTACCGCACGTTAATATTCCAGTTAGACGGAATCTGCGTTTCGCGTAATAACCGCACGTGTATGCAAATGAACAATTCAAGCGGCACCACGAAACGTCCGATCGTTATCAAATTGTCAAGGAGCCACGGAAATACGCTTTAGCAAGGTGTTCGCCGACCGTGACCGTCGGATTGCCGATAATGTCCGGCATGAGTCGGTGGCCATGTTTTGCAACCGTGCGCCCGCTAATTAGTAATTTATCGGGTTCGTGTCAATTATCAACGTGCACCGGACGTTCGCGTCTCGTTAAACCCCCCGCAGCCTCGATTAAAAATAATTTAGCGCAATTTCAACAGTCCGACCGCGGAACCGTTCGTTCGGACTAATTTCTTCGCAATTTCCCATTAATATGCAGATTTCATTTCGAAGCGCGAAAAACACCGATGAAGTTCCACGAAACGAAAGGGGAAAAAAGAGAGGCATTAACAGAGATGATAACGCGTGAAATGGGACATTTATTAACAATGCAAATACTCGAAGATTCTGTATTTATTTCTCGCGAGTAAATGTTGAGAAAACTTTTTTTTAATTTGACCTGTTAACTGTGAAAGACGAGTTAACTCGTCATTTTAAACACAATAGTCCATTTATTGTGAATTTTTCATTGTTTCTCAGTTCACGTTAATTCACAAAATTTTTAATTAATTCAAAGTGATTAATTATCATTTTTATTTGTATTCTGTTCTAAACTAAAGATTGAAAATTTCTGCTTGAGAAGCGAACACGTTAATTAGGTCAATAACCTCGACATCGTAAATGCAGTGGTAACATTTGAAAGATTAAAAAAGATTCCCTTTGTGTACAGTTTAATGGCAAAAGAGTATTACACGTTTCCTACTGTTTTACGAAACACCATGTATATGTCATACTACGAGATACAGAATCAGAATAAAAATTCTTATTAAAGTTCTGAACTTCCATACCATCTATCTGACTGTGAATCAAATCAAAAGCCGGATACCTAGGATTTTGTAGCTTCGGTAAAGGATGTACGAGCTATAAAACGCATTATCATGTTCCCTTGCAACTTGCCCATTCCGCGTGTATTACCCAACCGCAACCGCAATGGAAGAAACCACAAACGTTCTGGGGCAGGAACACATCGACCCCACGCGTCGAGCATGCTCATCAAACTGAATAAGCTATAACGAACGGATAAGAAAATGTCGCTGGACCCGTTGAATACGTAAAATGTATAGTCGGTGGAAGAAATACAGCGCGGTCGTAAATTCAAGCATTAAATAGCGGCACCGATTGATGTATGTATTTGCGAGGGAACATCCCCAACTGATAATCACCGATATTGATGAAACTTCGGTACATGGTAGCACTGAAAAAAATATTTCACGCGTATTTTTTTTTTAGGGGAAATCGTCCACGTCGAAGGAGTGAAAATCGCCGTTAGATACGAGGGTAATGAATTATTTATTATTCTTTTAAATCGTTGGTGAGAAATACCACATTCGTCAATTTACACTGTTCAGCTGTCTCTGATAATTTTTCAAATATTGAACTAAATATTTACTATCTCTAACTTTGAAGGCGACTTTCATCCCTTCACCGTGGACGATCTCTGATCTAAGAAACTAGGTGTCGACTATTTTTTGGGAAAGTTAAATCCAACGACGAAAATCTCCATATTTACTATCTCTAACTTTGAAGGTGATTTTCACCCCTTCACAGTGGACGATCTCTGATCTAAGAAACTAGGTGTCGACTATTTTTTGGGAAAGTTAAATCCAACGACGAAAATCTCCATATTTACTATCTCTAACTTTGAAGGTGATTTTCACCCCTTCACAGTGGACAATCTCTGATATAAAAAAATAAGTGTCGACTATTTTTTGGGGAAGTTAAATCCAAGCTTACCTGTAGATCCTCGTCGGTGAGACTGACCCAGGCTTCCTCCGACGTGAGTCCAAGCAGCAGGTCTCGATCGCCGAAACTAGCGAACTCGGTACCAGGACCAGGCACAAGGGGCATCAGTCCCGAGGATGAGGCGGTGGGCTGGAAATTCTTGACAACAGAAAGAGAGGAAGGCCGCGTTCAACGGACCCGTGGAACCGTGATAAATCGATCACGAGGCTCTGTGCAATTAAGTCGAGGCTCGCGAAAAAGGAAGTTGTGGCAACTATCGATTTTCAGACCGTGGGGCTTGCCCGGGACGTCGTAGGTAATTGCAATTACACCGTATACTTTATGGCTTTTAATTAAAAGTTCACCGACGAACAATCTTGCCCGCCGATACTCTCGATCGATTTTCGTAAAAGGGACAAAATAAAAAGGAGAAGAGTTGTGTGAGAAGAGAGAGAAGAGAAGAGAGGAGGAGGAGGATCGAGTGACGCGGAAGCGTTCGATTAACGGCAGAGCCGCGACGCGGAGCCAGGATTTAATACCACGGCTTCCACGGCTCGACATCTGTCAGTCGGTTGTCGGTTCAATTAGCAAACTCATCGCTTACCCGTCGCCTCGTCCAGCATTTCGCGCGGTCGAAACACCCGACGAAGCGCACGCGCCTCTATTTTCGCCACGAATTTTTCGCCCCGCTGATGCTTGCTTAATGAGTTCGCGTAGTTCGGTCCGAAGGTGGTCCGGGGATAATTTGAATTTCGAACGCGTTTCGTGGAGCGGCGTGTTCGAGAATAGTGTACTCCGGAGAGCAACCGAGAGGGAAGTTTTTGAAGAATTGTTCCAACTTCGGGTGAATTAGAATATCCGATTTTTAGCGCGGATAAGTGAAACGGGAGTTCGCTTAACGAGTTGATTTATTTTACGTAACAATAATGAAAGATACTTTGAACGGTGGTAATAATTAAGTAAAATTTTCCTCTACAGATAATGATCGATAATACAGAAACACGATTTCCTCGAAATCTGATAATGTATATTCTATTTCACTGAAAACGAGCAAAATGAAGTAAAATCTTACACAATTACGCGTTCGATGTTAATACCAAGGTAAAGAAAATTTCCTGGTATATTACCTTTTCACGATAGAAAAATGAAGAAGGAGAAAAAGCGAAAGAAAGTACGGGGATAAAGGAGGAAGGGTTAAGAACGTCTGGTACCTGATTGATCGGCGGAGGCATGACCGTTCCATCAACGAAAGGAGCAAATCCAGAAGTAAATCTCGGCGGATCCAACTTCACAGCGAGGAGCTCTTCCAGGCTCCGTAAACGAAGGCACGGTGCGATATCGTCAGCCTCAACGTCACCCTGACATCCGGTCTGCTCGGTGACGCGACGTTTCACCATTAATGGATCACGCTGTATAGCCCAGGGTGACAGGGCAGACCCACCGAGTAAAACCACTCTCTCGACCAGCTCTGCAATACAAAAATCGTCGAATTGTGAAGCGAGATGCCATTCCTAGGAGAAGATATTAATTTGAATTCCTCAAACAATTTAACAATTTTTTAAATACCACAATGTTATTTATCAACAAAATATACGAAAACTTAGCACATTTTTAAATTTTATTAAATACTCTATGAAAATCTCGTGGTATTTATTTTTTTTTAATATAAACCGTAAATAAATTTGAACGCTGGTTAATCCGCCAATGGTAACCACGTTATATCGTGTCGTCAATTTTTCTCTTCATTCACGAGATATTGAGATACGTGCACGATCCGTTTCTTCATCAAACTTCGTATCTCACTATTCACAAGAATATTATATTTTTTTCGAAACCCTAAATTCTTAAAATAATATTCGAAAAAATTTCACTGCCTACTAAAGTCTACACGGTCGCTGCCACCTAAAATCGATAACACACTGGACAATACATTCTCGACCACCTACGCTGCGTCGGTGGCAGCGACCCTGTCGAACCAACAAGATCACACTCAAATGCACCATAAGTAATCGTAAAAATCCACGTAACTCTACTCAAGATCCAAAAAAAATTCCCTACATCCAACATCAAAAATATTTACCAAACTCCTCGAATCTCCCAAAAAGAACTCCCTTCTTCCACCCTCGCGGGCAAAACAGAAAATTTCCAGCGAGCAGAAATTCACCAGGGAAGATATCCAACTTTTCCAACGTCGCAAGAATATTCGACTCGTCGTCTCGCAAGCGGGAGAACGCTCGCGGCCAAGAGGGCGGGAGCATTAGGGGCGAATCCGAGCAGCAGGGAAGGGCGAGAGGGTAAAACGCATTGTGGAAGGGCATTAAGGACGACGCGAGGTGGGTTCGTTAGCGGAATGGAGGTGCAATCTAGAAACGTTGGTATGAGCCACGACCCCTCCTTCACCCCCTCGAGCTCTCCCCTCTGTTACCCTAACTCTCTCCCTCTCTTTCTCTGTCGCAAGGAAGGCTACACACTCGAGGAAGCTTGTTAAGGTCTCTAGTGGCCGTCGACAACGGAGACGATGATGACACCGTCGTCCTCGAGGGATATCCTCCTCTCGACTATGACTGTACGGCGCGTAGGTGTCCTGACACCTTCGAGTTCGCCGCGACGAAACACGAAACGGGCGAACTGGAATCGCGGGAATGGAGGATTTCTATTGGAACGAACGCATTAGCGTGATATCTGGGGTTCTGTGGCGTTTCGTCCTTTTCGAAACGATATACCCTTTTCGAGCGCTCGCTTCCCCGAGGTAATTTGATAATGGAGTTATCTAGTTTTGGGGAGTCACGAGTCGAATGGACGGGTCCTGTAAACAGGTTGTGGAAACGAAGGAATTGGAAGGTGGGTTTGATAAAGCGGGAATTGAGGGCAAATTGAAATTGTGCATTGGTGATTATTGTTGTGACCGATACTTGGCGGGACACCATGTACGTATATTAAGTTACAGGAGTTTGTAAGTACTTTAGAGTGAGACTAATTTAACTGTATTTTGTTTTTTCAAGACTGAGTTATAGACATTGTTTAGTTTGTCAGAACCATGGGGACCAATTTTTGTTAAGACCTTAACTTATAATTTTGTTCTGACTATCAATCTGTTTCAGTACTGTATCAGGTTACAAAAGCTGATTTGTTACAGATTAGTTACATTTAGTAATCCTCTGTCTTAGAAATTGAAACGAAAGTTAGGATTTCTGCCACGAGTCGAACACTTTGTTATAGATTAAGGGGTTAGGCAATAAAAATTACAAAATTTAATCGTTTGAATTACGTTTGAGTACAATGTTGTTTTATGTATGATCGTTGATGTTTTTCTATTTTGCAGTAAAGTTACAACGTAGGACTTGAGTCGGTTTAACTTCAGGATACAGAACTACGAAACCATTCTGAATTCGACTGAATACACATATAATACATATTTGTTTGCGAAGGTGAATGGAAAAGACTGTTTCATACCTATAAAACCAGAGTAACAAACACTATATTAAACAAAAAGAAAATAAAACACCGTTGAACAGTGTTTGTTAACTTTGTTCTACCGTGACGAAATAACAGCGAAACGATTTTTGTTCTATTGTTTTTACACACAGAACTATGCATTCTTTCCTTTTAAGAGAAAACGTTGTTTCATTTAAATAAATTCTGCTCTCGAAAAAATCAAAGAAAAAAGAATCCTTTTTCTAAATTGAAGTTTCTACACTATCCCGGCGAATTTCCATCAGAGACCAAGCAAATAAAGGTATTTGTCTAACTGAAAACTGTCAAAAGTACTATACGATTCAATTCCGTCTGATTTTTTCGAAATAAATATTGAAGTTCGTTGGAAAAACAATCGCCGAATTCACGTGTACACGTGATATTGTGCAATAAAATTAGAAAACGTGGTGAAGAGGGTTTTTCTTACCTTTTGCTATGGGCGAGACGGCTAAAAAATTGGCGAGCGCGGCTCCTGTTCCGTGACCAAAGAGCGACAGTCGATCGGGGTTGCCGCCAAAAGCGCCGAGATTCTCGTGCAACCAATGAAGACCCGCCACTAGATCCATCAAGCCGTAATTTCCTTGCGTGCTACCCTTTGGACTGGTTTTAAGAAAGCCTACGGAGCAATTCGAACGAATTAGTACGCGCCACTCGCAATCACGATCGTTTGTTCGAGGAATCGTTAAATCTCCTGTTCGCCTCTTAAAATACGAAATTTACGTGCACCTTTAAGGAAGGTCGGAAAGATCTATCTAACCGATGTTGAATTTGCAAAATTTATGCACCTTTCTCTTGGAAACCGTTATAGACACCTTCTACATATTTTTTGGCCCTTTTTATGCACATTTGTACGTGGGAATTTTTAAATATTTTTCTGGGAACCAAAAGTATAATATTTTGAAAAATACTTTTATTTCTCAAAGTTTGTGTAAGAAAATGTTGACAGTAATGAGTGAAGCGAAGTGATTAAAATTTGATTTCAATATCTTTCACGATTTTTTAGAAAAAACGTACACAAACTTTCGAGAAATTAGGATTAAAACAAAAACAAATACTGACACCTTTTTCAAAAAATTTCGTAAAATCACACCTAGCTTTTTTCAGTAAAAGAATTTTTTTAATTCCTTAGTTATTTTTAGTCGTACCCTCCTCATTAAGTTTACCTAAAATATCAGGGTAAATATTTCGCTCGTAAAAGTTTGCATTCACAAACTGTACATTCCGAAAAATTTCCGAAATAAAATATCGAATTCACTTTACAAATTCCGGCGAATAAATCAACAGAACACGATCGTTTCAACAGTCACAATTCACCCGAAAACCTGTCGCGAACCCTTAAATCATTTCGAATTTTCGCCGGTTCGAGGTAAACGTTTCGAAAATTTCTCGAGACTCATCTTCGAGCGGCAACGAAGTGGCGTAAACTTTGGCGGGCGTTATTTTCAGCGAACATTCACCAGCTGGTTAAATAAATTCTCGCGGTTTCGGTGGAGGCCGCGAAGTCGCCTCGCAGTTTCCCCTGAAAATGCAACAAAGAGCGAGGGCGGCGGTGGACGTTTTAATTCGAGTCACAGGATGCCGGAGAGACGGTTAATCCTGGCTCCCGTTGAATACCAAGTTTCTTATTGCGGGCATAAAGCGATCCTTTATGCTTTTTCCTCCCGCGAACACACCGACGTTTTACGGGAACCTTTGAAAATAAAGTCACGCGGCTTCGTCGCGAGTTACTATTGCTCTAGGAATTGCTACGACGCCCGGTAGTTACCGCCTCGCTGACTTCTCGAAGCTTCGCCTTTTTGCAACGAGATACGATGTTTTTATGTATGAGAGCATCGATCGATCGTAATAAGAGTGTAAATGAGAGTGCTGGGACATTTTAGAAGAGATGCGAGTAGTTTTTTTTTTTTATTCTGAAAGTGGTACACGTTTAATTTTGAGAAATCGAAGAAGATTCTGGTATAAAAAAAAAGAACACGTGTTCCCTATTTCAATCCATAATTCACACACAAATTTATATAAAAATTTACCAAGAGAAATTACCAAAAGAAAATGAAATTTTTTAACATATTACTTAAATAACTGATATTTTTTTAAGTCTTCGTGTGATTGAATCTTCCATTCCAAGTACACAATTTAAGAAAATAGGTCATTTTAATATTATTATGTTTCCCAATTAATTATTAATGATTCGCTGATTTATTCTCGTGGCATAAATAACGATAAATGTTAATAAGGCAAGCACGAAAGCTATTCAAGCCAAAAGTGTCATCAATCGTAATACATAACAATTTTTTTACAATTGTTGCAGTAAAAATGTGAAATATAGATTTCTAAATATAAATTACAATATTTCAAAAGAGGAAATTCCATTCTTTTGTTCGTTCTCATTACTACTTTCCAGTTACGGTAATTCTTGTCTGCGGTCTGACCATAGCCTGGTATTACTACTTAAAGTAGAAAGAGTGAAACACGCGCCAGTTAATCCATTTACACTCCACGCTTTAATATAAATTTGAAAACCAGTCTAATCTTAAATTAACGTATTGATAATTATTATTACGAAGACCTCCCCGGATGATAATTAAATTAATTAACAATATGGTAATATTATTCCACATTATACACCACACCGTATTAAACGTTAATTTAATTCACCTGGATAATAGAAGAGAGACAATTTTGATTAGGTATTATTATAATTTCTCCGAATTATTAATGAATACGGAGAATCTCGAAATGTGTAATTTAGTAAAAGCCATCCGTACTCATTCCACCCTTCGTCGATCAATTATATGGTAGAATGAAAATGAGAAAGTTGAAAAAATTGTAACTTTTATCAAACCGAATTACAATGTTGCATTGAATTAAATAATAACTAAAATACATATATTTATCTACCAAAAAGTACTTAACGATACTACATTTTGAATAAAAAATTGCTTATTTTTAACATTTGTCTATTTAAAGAAAACTGCAAATTATCGATCTTTCACAAAACACAAGATATCGAATTTTTTGACGATAAACGAAGCGTTTAAGGTTTTCATTTTTCGTTCTTCCCTATTGTTAGTGTTACCTTCCATGTTCCTGTACGACGAAAACAGAAACCTTTATCGAGCAAATAGTGTGCAATCTGATATAACGAATTTACTGCAACACGATTGTCTCTGTACCTCCATGAAAATGAATTCCAACCCTCCCTATACTCCCTCTTGTCCACGTATTCTCCACTTCCTTCCGGTTAAATCTAGGATTACCGTGATTGCATTACACAAGGCTCATTGCGTTTAACAAGGACGGGTCTTATTTTACACAGAAGTTCGAGGTGTCAGATGAATCGTACAGCGTGTCAAAGAAATAGTTAAGTTTTAAGTTTTATCGTCAATTTAACCAATTCCTCGTTCTTGTACTTCTTTAAAATACAAGAAATTCCAAGTTGAAGAAATTACATCGTCACTTTATTGTAATTCTTCAAGACGCTAGATTTTATTTCATTTTTTTTAATCGAAGCTGCGTCCATTTTATCGCCACGGCACTTTTACAACCTAGTTATTTCACGTACGAGGAAGTTCGAAATTCTAATTAGAACTTGGAAGACAGAGTTGTCTCCTAATTCTCAGCGGCAATTAACGCGTCACAAACTCACAAAAACACTCAGAACCAGACCAGAATTTAGTGTTATGAGCTGGCACTCACATTAGACCCCGCATTAAGGACACGTGCAACATACTCGTGTTGCAGTAAACTCGTGCAAACTGTACAGCACACGTGAAATTCGAGGAATTCTCGAAAAATTGCTCGTTAACCTCCTTCAACTTCCACCTGAATAACTAAGACGAATTAATACCGTCGGAAGAATCTGAAATCGAAATTCGTAACGTTGAAACTTCAAATTCAACAATTCTCTTATTCATCAAAACTGACAGAAATTTAACTAAACACGTTGCGACCATTGAAAGTATCAAAAATCTGTAATTATTCTCAAATATTAGGTCATCCCATAAGTTCAGAGCGAAAGCGAAGAATGTTTTAATGAAAATCCAAAGAAATTCTATAGTGACCACACGATCATCTTACAAAAATAAAAGGAGAAACAAATTGTGCAATGAGAAGGTGCTTACGTTTTCTTTATCAAATTTGAAGGTTCGTTGGAAACACTGATCTAAATTATAAAATTCGACACGAACTTATGGGATAACTTAATACAATTCTTACACATTGAAATTCATTTCTCTTAAAAATCGCATACATCAGGAATTTGCATATATTGTTCAGAGTATTGAAAAAGAAAAGATATTAAAATGTCTTATTTATTAAGCAAACTTCATTTTTTCTCAGAGTAGCTCGAAAGACAGATTTGTGCAACCCTAATTTCTAAGTGTCCCAATTTTTTTATCAAGCAGTGTGCAAAAAATACGAAAAATTATCAATAGTAAAAAAGAAAATAAAAGCAACAGATAAACAAACAGAATGCGTTCTCCAGACCCGTCTTAAAGGAGAATTCTCTTTCAAAATGCAACGTAGCCGTGTCACGAGTCGAACGCAATAAGCCGATACCCTCTTTGCATATAATGCAAATACCACGAAATACTAGAACGCCAGTGGCCTAAGTGCAATTAGGAGCATAGCAGAGAAACAGTGTATGATTACTTCTAGTATTTACCCTAACGACGTTACATCACGCTGCCTCGGTAATTACTTAAAGCTTATCGCTCGTTTCATTAAATTCGACCCGAGACCAAAGCCGCCGCGCCGAGTCTGTTCAAGGTTATTCACAGAGAGCAATCAGAAACTTCGGAGCAGCAACTGCACGGAGGATATTGCTCCACGTACTTCGCGGTCGAATCCCGAATTGCTGACATGAGAACTTTTCAATTAAAATGCAAATTTTCACCTCGTCGCGACTCGCCCTACGATCATTTCCCCGTTTTCGCGATCAACTCGCCGACATGTTTGATTGATTGGTTTAAACCAGTAAGAGGAATATTCTTCGATGATAGAAATTTTGTTATTTGCATGCATTTTAAAAGGACGAGTGGTCTCGAGAAGGTTTAACGAGTTTCACTTGTTTTTTTATTTATTTTGTAGGAAATCAATTTTATACTTTGCTTTCGTTCAAGATTTTTGCTCGAATGTGTTACATTTTTAATAAACTGTGCAATTGTAAATATCGACGATTGGTAATTGATAGTGACATAACAGAGAAAATGTGAGTTTTTATTCTTTTTGTATAAATTGACTTCATGCAGTTGCATTATTTTTATCACGCAAAATGGCACTTTTCATACTGAGAGTTTCACACCTTTCGCTGTATGATTAAAATTCTTTTAATTATGCCGCTATCAATGCTAAGCAGCGACATAGTCAAAACTCAAAGACCGGCTTAATGAAGTTTTTCAACGTGGAAAAGTTTTTCCTAATTTCGTAATTTTGGACACTAAAAGCCTGTTTCCAACTGAACCATAGTAGACTGAAATATGAATATTTCGTAAAAATATGGTTTTTTTAAGCGTAGCATGTACTTGGAAAAAATTTAAATTAAACACGAGAAAACTCAATTTTATTCTACTTTGTATACAAAAGTGCTAGATATAAAGAAAAAATTTCTCTTCGTTA